CCCCAGCCAGCTTGGCTGGCTGGGGAATTCTGGGAGTTGAAGTCCACATGTCTTAAAGTTGGCAAGGTTGAGAAATTCACTGCCCTAACATTTCTCTCTCTCTCTCTCCTCTTCCAAGATCCTGATTTCCCTCCTTGCCCCAAATATAAGCATATAAAAACATGCAGACAGAATACTTGCATTCCAACATCAAAATACAACAACCCTGGGCCCCACCCTGCCAACCATCCCCTTCTGCCTCCTAGAGATTAACCGTCCCTAGGGCCGAGAAGAAGACCCCTTTCTACCAAAACTGCCCTTCCGGCTGCATCATGCATCCACCACGGAATAGGCCATTTTGGTTTTCCTTGGTTTAATTGGGCAGGATGGTTGGCGGAGAGCCAGAGGCTTGTACATCGTGCAGATGGGATTAATAATGGAAGGAGTCTCAGGCCCTCCCCCTCCTTAAATAATGCCCCATGCTCTCTCCCAAGTATGAATTATAAAGAAGGCTGCCATGAGGCCGCCAGTGTCCCCACCCGTGCCACCCCGCCCCCTTTGTGTAACAGTCTGCAGGAAAAGCAAAGCCAACAAAGGAAAAGAAATAAAAGAGAAAACTCACATTGTGCTGGGTGTAAATGTAGTGTCTGCTACACACAACTTCTTTGCTGGTGTCCTTCCCTCTCCCTGTTCTCCCCCCTGCCACCCCCACCCCCACGTAAATGCTGTCCAATCACATACATGTTGTCCATCTAAGCTTTTTTTCAAGAGGTCTTTCTTTCTGGCTTGCACGGAGCATAGGGCTGCTCCAGAATACATTTCTCGGTGAGGCCTCCTAGTCGTCCAACCCTTCTCTCCCTGTGCTGCGGCATCACATCTGGCGAGCCAGCTTCCCCCTCTGGCTTAGTGTAATCTCCTCTCCGTCCAAGGAGGGGACTGTATCATCCGAGCTTCCTTCTACAAGGATGGTGGTGTTCCCCCCCCCCACCTCATGATTTTTAAAACTGAATCTCAATCTCCGTGCAAACTTCCATCTATCCTGGGTTTCTCCCCTCCCTCCCCCTTAGAGAATGTCTTGTTTCTTTGCTTGTAAGTAACTAGATATGGTGTTATCCCATTCCTTGACTCTAACACGGTAGGTAATGTTGACCAGGATCTGTACACTTCCAATTACAGGGGTGCCTTGCTTTGTTTTTAACAGCACAGTTCTGACTGTAGATTAGAATTATATGTTTCCTTTGTCCATCGGAGAAGTAATAATATAATCTATGCAGGGTAGAAACCTATATTCCTCTATATTGCATTGTCACTCCTGCAGATACTTGTATAAACACACTTGTGCTTCACTGCATGGTTCTCACACACCTTCCTGCTTCAGTGCTGATCCTCACAATTTTATTTTTCATCTGATTTTCATCCAATTCCTCATCTTCTCCCAACTTGTTCTGACATCAAAACACTATTTTTTTAAAAACTCCCCGCCCAACTGCTCCGCATCAGCCTAACTCCAGTTGAGCACAGCAAGGTATTTTGTCCTTTCATTAAAAATATGACTTTCTTCATAAAAAATATAATACTGAGGGTTTTTCACTCTTTGTAGTGAGGGTGGAAGTATTCGGTACAGTTACTGCTCTGTTGTGTGAGAGAGTGTGTGTGTGTGTGCATATTCTCTCTGCCTTTTCTGCCTTTCGAAGCAACTGAGCAAAGAAATTCACAACCTCTTATCTGATCCAAAGGAAAGGATTGAAGAGGAAGAGATGATGGACTTCGGTTTCCTCAACTGCACTCCTCCAGATACTTTTGACCACAACTACCATAATTCCCAACCAGTGTGGACATGGCTTCTGGGTGGGAATTGTGGTGAGTCTGAACTTAGATATGCGAAAGGTATCCTGTTAGCGACCCTCACAGCAGTGGTGGGTTTCAAAAAAATTTTTTTTTCCTACTGGTTTGGTGTGCTTTGCAACTCGCCTTCTGCTGCAAGCCCCGTGTGTAAAACAACGGACGGGTGGCTGTGCCACGCAGAGCAGCTGAGGTTGAAAAGCAGGAAGTAAAAGTTCAGTATAGAGCCTGAACTGATTCGCTCACAGGTGATCCTCAGAGCTAACGGTAGTTCTGAGGATCGTCTGTGAGCGAGTTGGTTCGCCCCAATGATCAGCTGATGGGCCCTCCCACCCGCCAAACTGGGCCGAACCGGTAGAATACCCACCACTGCCTCACAATGAAGACTTAATCTTTATAGTACAACTGCCTTTGATAGCAGGCACTTCACAAGGGTTTGAGGGAGTAGTAATCACCGTGGATTATACTATGCTGGAAAACCAAATCATGAACGCTGTGCAGCCTGCCTTGTCCTCTTTAAGTTACTTTTCCTTCCTCAAATACAATGGGATATTTAAATCTGTCTTTGCACACATAAAGATATATTGTCCTTTGTTTCAGATAGCATCATATTTTGGAACTGTCTTTCCCCACAATTGCTTGGCACATTCCCCAACTCACCCTACGGCCACCCTGAATTCCCGCCATATTCATGCCCCCAGCTGCCTCTCATGTTTGCTAAATATTTTGGGTTTTTCTAAATAGTGTTTGGCCAAGATTCATCAGTTCCCACAGCCCTTCACTGGGGCTAATATATCAACCCACTAATTAAAAGACGTTGCACACATTCATGCTTTTCAATCCTGTTTTTCTGGCTGCAGCTGGTCATTTAAAAAGGGGAAAGATGTCAGTCTTTGCTTCATGCTTTTAACTTCAGAATGGGATGCCAGCTAACACCAACCCCCCCGCCCCGCCCCATTACTTACTACTACAACCTTTCATTCATTCATTCCAACATTCTCATTTTAAGCATTGCAATCTCACTTTCTTCTTTAGGATCCCCCAAAATAGGCATTTCGTGTTCTCCAGTAGCTCTGTTGCCATTCTTCCAACTTCTTTCGCTGTCACTTCATTCTGGTTGGTTGGACCTGTAATATTTTCCTCTGTAGAGCTCATTCTGCCTTCTTCTTTTGCATGAAGCCTCTGTGCCCCCACCCTTTTTTTAAAAAATCTTCACTTTCACACCCATTTCCACCATACATTTTTCTTACCTTCTTGCGATACAAGCTGTTGACTCTCTGTTGATTTAATTCATTCCTTCGGCTAATTTCACCCATTCCATTGTCATTTTCTGGTTGATTGGCAGATGGTATATTTGGTTATACAAGCCTTTCTAGATGTCTTATGGGTGTGCAACCACACCTATTTGAGTTATGCTTGCACCTCTACCTGGATACCACACCTTTGGAGTCACGGTTAGTCGCTCTAAGTTGTTCCATCATTGCCAGTTTCTAAACCAATTCATGGCTCTCAGCCCGCTCCTTCTCACCCCTGTCTATTGCCTTTTGTAAACACCACAGAGGAGAGATCAGATTTCCCAGGCTGGTTCTTTTCCTTTGTTCCCAGCAAAAATGTGTAAACCTGCTCCCCCTTCGTAGGGTTGGGTTGTTGGTGGTGGAAGAGCTTTTCTCCAGCAGGTTCTTGTAAACATGGAACATTGAAAGAGTTTTATTTGCTGTTGAAATTTGGCAGTAGATGGAAGATGGGCAGACAGGTCACTAGTTGAAGAGATGGATGGATAGATGAAAAGAAAATGAGAGAGAAAGAGAGAGACTGTGGGAGAGAACATGGGAATCCTGTTCCTCCTTTTTCCTTCTTTCTCCATCGGATGGAAAGGGGAGGCTGGTCCCAGTTTCTTGGGGGAATCGAACTCCTTACAGTGAGAGCGGAGATATTTAACCACAGCACAAACTGTTTCTTCTGTTTTCTTTCATGTGTGTTCCTTTGTCTTCTCTTTCTCCCTCCCTCTCTCTTTCTTTCTATTGTTTCCATCCTTGTGCTCTTGCTTTGTATGGTTCTGGAATGCAGTGGGGCAGATGAGATGAGAAGGGATGGGTACTTTGTAGTCATACTGGTCCCCTGCTCCAAAGGTAGAAATTTTGAGGCTAGGGGTGCAGTGGCAGCCAATAGCCACCTTCACTGAAACACTGGGGAGGAGAGAGGTTTGAGGACAAGGGAACAAGGGCAAAGGAATCGAGGAAGGGAAGATGAACACAGGAAAAGAGAACAAAACAAGGGACTTTATTTACTATTTGTTAAGAAACACAAGGGATTCATATCTCAGATGTGCTCAATTCAACCTCTCTACCTCTGGCATTCATTGATACCTGAAACATGCAGGAGCAGATGGTTAGGAGAAGCAAAGGGAAGATTCATGACCCAAGGGAAGATATGAGATTCAGGGGTATGCAAAGGTGAAGAAAAAAGGCAAAATGGCAGTTGTGGCCATGTGATCCAAGCCCCACTCTCTCTTTACATACATGGCACTGATGATACGTAGAAAGATTTGGTCTAGTGGTTAAGGCACCAGACTTGCAACCAAGGGATGGTGAGTTCTACTCCTCCCTTAGCCATGAAAGTCGGATGGGTGACATGGGGCCAATCACTCTCTCTTAGCCCAGACCACCTCACCAGGTTGTTGTTGTGGGGAAATTAGGAGGAAGAAGGAATATTGTGTGTATATATACTATCTTGAGTTATGTGTAAAAGTAATAAAGGCAGGAAATAAATAAATAGACCGGGTGTGGCTGATGCTCTTAGGCTGGGCCTTTATCTATTATAATTAATATTGATAATTATATCTTATCTGGTTACTTCAAAGTCTCACAGTGCTCTGGGTTGGCTCCTAGGCCTCCCCACAAAGAAGACTGACCCTGAAGAAGCTGTTTTGGGCAGCTGCAGGTTTTAATAAGAATGCTGATTTCCATGAGCCGGACTTTGTAGATCTTCCAGGGCATAATTATGTAACTTCTTGCCACAACAAAACTCTTTAATGTATTAAGATGATGATGATGAAGATGATGATGATGATTATAACTCTTGGGGCAACATTAGTAGCCATTAATGGTTGCAGCACAATCAACACAGTACCTCATCTGCCTTTGTCCCCCCCAGTGGGGTCTACTCCACAGACAATCAACTCCATGTTAAGGAAGGGAAATCTTTATTCTGAAATCATCTTCTGAAGTAGTCCAAAACAGTGTTCCTCAGCCAAGAAGGGTGGACTTCAACTCCCAAGATTGCCAAGCCAGCATGCCACCTGGAGAATTCTGGGAGTTGAAGTCCACACATCTTAAAATGGCTGTGAATGGGAATCACTAGTCTAAGAATCTAAGCATCACGACTCTCTAGAGAAATCCTCCCATCAGGCGATGCTTTCCGGGCTACTCACCTCCAAAATTGATGGCACAAGAGGCCACGATGATGAACAAGCCCCCAACCAGGGCCACAATACTCAGCAGCTTTGCTACCCGCCCCAAGCGCCGAGCCCCATCGATGTCTCCCTGCTGGAAGCTGTTACGGGACTGAAGAGGGAGCAAAAAGAAAAATGGTGTTAAAAATAGCAATAGCAATAGCAATAGGACTTATATACCGCTTCACAGTGCTTTTAGTGTATTACTATTATTCCTCTACTGCTAGATTATAATAACACTTCCTAGTACCTATCTCTTGCCACTTATGACTATAACCATGTTGCTTGCATCTTTACAATTTATATTGTTTTATTAATTTCCTAGTATGATTTGACTGCTTTTTAGTAACCTATGACTTTCACTAAGTGTTGTATCTTATGATTCTCGATGAATGTATTTTTTTTCCTTTATGTATACTGAGAGCATATGCACCAAAGACAAATTTCTTGGGTGTCCAATCACATCTGGCCAATAAAGAATTCTATCTATTCTAGTTTTACAGCCCTCTCTAAGTGGTTTACAAAGTCAGCATATCGCCCCCAACAATCCGGGTCCTTATTTTACCCACCTGGGAAGGTTGGAATGCTGAGTCAACCGTGAGCCTGGTAAGATTCAAATTGCCAAAGTGCAGGCAACAGCAATCAGCAGAAGTAGCCTGCAATACTGCATTCTAACCACTGCGCCACCACAAATGCAAAAATGATTCTAAATTTTTAAGAGCGCACCTGAGCAACCTCATCTTGGTCATTTCCACTGCTTAAACCAAAACACACACATCACTGACATTGTACTGGTTAGTGGGCAGAACACAACATTGGCCATCCTGGCTGAATCTCTTCAACTCTGTCAGAGGAAAATTGACCAAGCCAGCAACAAGATTTGATTTAGAATATTCTTAGAATGTTTCAAGTTCAGGCAAAATATTTCCCTGAGATATTAAGAGTTTTATTAGGAAATAAATCTGCTCTGGTGATCTTGCTTCCTAATGAAGAGCTTGTAGTCTTGACTTGCAAGCATAATTGAGCCCAAAATTTCCATTGCTGAGCAAGAGAGTTGCTAAATGCATTTTGCTCCATTTTATGAACTTGCTTGCCATGGTTGTTAAGTGAATCACTGCAGCTGTTAAATTAGTGACATGGTTGCTAAGTAAATCTGGCTTCCCCATCCACTTTGCTTGTGAGAAGGTCACAGAAAGTGATTGCATGACTCTAAGCAACCATCATAAATACATGCCAGTTGCCAAGCATCCAAATTTTAATCAGGTCACCATGGGGATGCCACAAGAGTCATAAATGTGAAAACGGTCATACAGTAGGTCACTTTTTTCAATGCCTTTGTAACTATGAATGGTAACTAAATGAATGGTTGTAAGCTTACCTACATTGGAGGGCAGTGGAAGGGTGGCATACTTTGTTCCTGTTCCATTTGATTAGAACGTGGTGGCGCAGTGGTTAGAATGCAGTACTGCAGGCTACTTCTGCTGACTGCCGGTTGCCTGCAATTTGGCAGTTCGAATCTCACCAGGCTCAAAGTTGAACTCAGTGTTCCATCCTTCCGAGGTCAGTAAAATGAGGACTCAAATTGAAGTGTGGGTGCAGCAATAGATAGGCTGGATGGAAAGCAGGGGTGGTATTCTACAGGGGCGGGATTCAATTTTTTTAACAACCGGTTCTGTGGGTGTGGCTTAGGTGGTGGGTGTGGCTTGGTGGTCATGTTATTGGCTGGGTGTGGCCAGCTCAATATCACTCACATCGAGGCACGCATCTCCTTGCCCGGCCTTTCATGACTGTGGGGATGCTGCAACAGTCGTAAATGTGAAAAATGGTCATGTCACTTTTTTCAGTGCCATTGTAACTTTGAATGGTCACTCCATGCAAACAAAGTACCAGCAAAGGAGGGGAAAAAAACTCCAGAGAAGTTCCTGAGATAGGAAGTCTAGTCCTGCCAAGAATGTAATAAGGGTCAACGGAGAGGCAGTTTCTGTAAGCAACACCAGAATGTTTCCTTCCTGCCTTTCTTACAGGATTTCTCCTTACAATTTCTTCTAACAACCGGCTCTCCGAACTGCTTAGAATGTTAACAACCGGTTCTAGCGAATAGGTGCGAACCTGTAGAATCCCACCCCTGGTATTCTACCAGTTCGGCCTCGTTCGGCCGAGCCAGTAGCTCCAAGGATCATCTGTAAGTGAACTGGTTCTCCCCGATGATCAGTGCCCGCCCGCCTGCCCCAGCTCTGTTCTGACCTTTATTTCCTGGTTTTGCAGCTCAGCTGCTTCTCGCAGCACAGCGGATTCCTGCATGTCAGCTTTTTGACACAGAGCAGGAGTGCAGGAGGTCAGTAGCAAACCCTCTGCGTGCGCGCAAAGCACGGGTTTGGCATGCCTGTGTGTGAAGCATCAAGTGTGTGTGTGCAAAGTGCATGTGAGCGCAAAGTGCGCCCACCAAGCCACGCCCACAGAACCAGTGGTAAAAGAATTTGAACCCCGCCACTGGTGGAAAGGGTAAATGGAAAGCACCATTTCACCATACCAGGGAAAGCATTTTACAGGATCCCCATAGTCGGTGGCTCTTTTAATTGCTCAATCCCACCTTGACTCTTACCATGACCGAGTACACGAAGGCCACAATGTTGATCGGCCAGATGGGGCAAAAACAGGACAGAGCAGCCATGAATATGTAGTCTCTGGGTTTCGCCCCAGCCTCCCCAACTGCTGATCCAGTGGCTGAGGCCTGCCGACTCAGACTGGCCCGCGGAGATGCTGCTGTGCCTGCAAGATGCACCTGAGAGCCAGACAAACTGCCCCTCACACCCGCCCGGGGGCCTCCATTGACGCTGTTCTGGGGCTTCAGGTCATTCAGCGATGCCGATTTGGACCGTGCCGGAGGGCTGCCAGGAGGGGCTGGGGTGGTTCCTAATTCCTCAGCTGAGCCGGCCCTCATCCCCAAGGGATCCCCATTCAGTTGTGGTCCCTCCACAGTCTCCTCTTCGATGGTGACAGTCACCAGCATGGATTGCGGAGGGGCCTCTGGAGCCTGGGGGCTATGAGGAGGGGATTCCGGCTGCGGTTGCTGCTCCTGCTTTGGGTCTGGCTCAGCTTTTGGCTCTGGCTCTTGCTTCTCTCCTTCATCTTGCTTTGCCTCTGGCTCTGGAGGAGCCTGTTTCTTCTCCACATCGTCTGACATGACAGGCAAGGATCTGGGTTTAGGAGAATTAGAGGAGGCTTGAATTCAGTAACATTGAACAAGGTGGTGCTTGGATTGCGTCAGCCTCAGAGCCTGCTCTCTACCTCTGGATTGCCACGAGGAAAAGAAGAAATAATAGAGACGCTCTTCCCATGCCTTTCAACCCCAGGCTCTGAGATCTTCAAGGAGACCTTTAGGACTCCTAAAGTGACACTTTTGGAGATAAGAAGTTGGACATGGAAATGGTCATTAGCTGAGAAATGTTTTCAGACCTCCCACAATGGACGAATGGCTGCAAAAGTTGGTGGAGTTAGTAGAGGCGGCTAAATCAACTGCTTTGGTTAAAGAAAAGAACACAATGAATTTTGTTTCTATTTGGATGCCAACATTAATTCAATGCAGAGCTAAACAATAAGTGAGAGGAAGGGGAAAAAAATAGGATTTCATGTTTGGGAGACAAGATTTAATCATTTAAAAAAGCACTCTCGTGTTGAGATGCACACCTGGTGACTTCACGAATGTCTCTGTTATTGGTCTAGGTCAGAGATAGGGAACTATGACCCTTTTATGACTTGTGGACTTCAACTCCCATAATTCCTGAGCTAGCAGGGCTGGCTCAGAAATTCTGAGAATTGAAGTCCACAAGTTTCAGGAAATTTTACCAGGCTACCCAATGACATCCCACGAGAATAAGCCAGTCCTAACAGTGCTGGCAGAGGGTGCCTACTTTGTATCCCATCAGTCACAGAACTCTGACTATTGGGACCCAGAAAAAGACTCTTCTCTGTTGTGGCACCCGCTCTTTGGAATATCCTGCCCTCCGCAATGAAATCTGTTTCGACTTCCTATCCTTCCACAAGGGCCTGAAGACCTGGCTCTGCCAGTTGGCATGACAACTCAGTGGAGGAAATACACATTGGAGGGGGATGGTTTGATGTCAGACTCCATCTTCCCCCTTGCTCTCTTTTCTACATCCATCCATCCTTCTCATTATGTTCCTTTATCATTATTTTATTGTTCTATTATTTTACTTCTGTTCTCTTATCCCAAAAATAAGCCCTAGTTTGATTTTTACGTGTGTGCCTAAAATAAGCATTAATCAAAAAATAAGCCCTAGTTAAGACTCCAACCACTCCATACCACCCTCTGATTGTACAAAGTGGGGCGAAGCACATGCATAAAAATCAAGCTAGGGTGTGGTGAGTGAAGCTTCACCATGTGCCCTGCACCCACTAACTTTAGGACCACTGCAGCCAGGCCTCCCACTCCCAGAAACCTGCTGCACCACTGCCCAACTTTTTCTTCAGCTTGCAGCCGCTTGCAATGAGATGCCACATGACGCATTGTGTCAGTGCCATAGCTCGCACTTGCAATGACATCACCCACCACGCAGCATCCTGCCTCGAGTGACAGCACCAGCACAATGAGTCATGTGGCCTCCTGCCACGAGTGGCAGTACTGGCATGATGTGCTATGTGCTGTCTGGCTGCAAGAGGCTGCGAGTGGCCACAGAAGAAGTTGGGCAGAGGCACGACAGGTGTCATAATGTGGGAGGTCTGGCTGCGGGGGTCCTAAGATAAGCGGTTAAGACATCCCCCTAAAATAAGACCGGGTGCTTATTTTGGGGCCCAAAAGAAAGACCAGGTCTTATTTTGGGGGAAACATGGTAGCTAAAAATATTCATTTATGGAAGTGAATTACTGCTGTTTTTCTCCCGGATAGGTTTTTTTTTTTTTAACCAATTTCTCTGCTTTCCAGGGCAGTACAATGGCTAAGTGGTTAAGATGCTAAGTTTGTTGGCTAGAAGGCTGACGGCCTGGGTTCGAAACCCTAACACTGCGCAACAAGATGAGTGCTTATCTATGCCTAGTTCCTGCCCACCTAGCAGTTCGAAAGATGTAAATGTAAGTAAATAAATACCATTTTGGCAGGGAGGAAACAGCGCTGTGATGTCATGCTGTCCACATGACCACAGAAATGTCTTTGGACAGGGTTGGCTCACAGCCTTGAAACAGAGCTGAGTGTCATCACCTTTAGTCATCAATTTTTAGTGGAATAAAATCTTCAAGGACTTCTTTCCTTTCCATTTGCTTTCCAGTCCTGGGATTTTTTAAAGATCCCCCCCATTCAATTATTAACCATGTTGTGTTTGCTTTTGGAGATTGGCAGGACTTTAAAATATCTAAATGCCAAAGTTTGGATGCGTTCAAAATTAATGTTTGAATACAAGCAGACATAAAGCTCTCCATCTTTCCTCACAACATGCTTAGGCATATGCAAAGTAATGGAAAACTGTTAAGAAATAATATACTAAGATTTAAAAAAATATATTATTTCAATTTTAAAAACTTACATCATTCCTCGTCATCTATGACATCCTAATATTTGGGCTTATAACTTCTACCATTGTCAGCCAACATGAGCTTTGGCAAGACTTGGCTGGGGAAGAAACTATTGCAATAATTTATGGTTCACAGGAAGTATTGCGGTTGTACTGCCACTCACCAAGGATCAATAGTCAGACAAGACACACACACACACACACACACACACACACCTACATTTTCATCTTGGAATGCAGACCTAATAATAAGCTTCTAGCAGCAGATGTTTGGCTTGTAGCACCAAAACTGATTCTTAACTGATTTTTATCTTACATAAAATGTATAACCTCTTGCACAAATATTGAGGGTATCTCATGGAGAGGAGAGAGCCCCAACTGTGTTAAATTCTTAATGCATTCAAAACTTCAAAACTACTGCTTCAAAACTTTTGCATCTCCCTTTCTGGGTAGACACAAAACTGGAAAGAGGAAGCTGATGTAGACGTTCCCATCAGGTTTGATGGCCAGGGATTCATCTTCGGATCCAACTCCCTGCTCAGTGGCCATTCCTGATACATATTTAAAAACAGGTCTGAGGCATTCGCACATTCACATTCTGCATTAAAGATGAAATTTGTTTCTTAAACTGGCCTTGCATTACCACCCACCCGCCTGGCTTGTTGTGAGCAAGCTTGGCTGATGCTCATCTGCTAGGCAGACTGCTGTAATTCCTGCATCGGTGTTTTCCAGATTCAAGGGCAGCAATGCACTTTTTATGGCGCTGCTGTTAAAGGCAGTTCAGGAACTTCATCTAGGGTAGAGCTGTGGCAGGCAGGCTAATGGAAGCAATTTAATAGTCTCACCCATCATCCGTTTGAGAAGTCTGCTAAAATTGCTGATTAGTTTCTCAGCTCAGTTCAATACTGGATCCTCCCTTTTAACTCCGTAATTGCTAGAGTTCAAATGGTCCATGGAAATAATTCCTTCTGCAAGAAAATAATTTCACCTCCCACCCCAGTCTGCCACTTCAGATCCTACGAAGTGGCTTGATTCACTTCCCGTAGAAGTAAATGTTTTTCATTGGAAGGTCAGATTTATGAGAAGCTCTTAGATGGCGCAACTAGCTTTTCTCCTTAAGTATCTTTTCAAAAGCTAGTTAAGACTTTGCACAAAACATGCTCATTATGGTGCCTTTATTTTTGTTAACCCTATTCTTGACACATGATTGCCAATTTTCTATCTTTATACCTACCTGTTATTTCATTATTGGCATATACATTTTGTTTTTGAAATAGTAAAGCCATCTAAAGCTTTATAAACACTTTTAGGCAGCTATTATTAAATAATGAAATATAGACAAGATGTAATTGTTGGGATATTTCTTACAACAACTGCCAGACATCAAGTTTAAAGCACCAAAACGGATTCTTTTCTTATATAAAATAGTTAACTGTAAATAAAGTTTAGGAGCTATGATTCATATGTGGAAGTTCAATGGTATATAAATTGCTCATAAATTGTGTCTTCATTCAGTAATTCAAGATAATACTCACCCAGTCTCTAAGCATATTCAATCTAAGGGATAAATGAGACATCAGTTTACCTTTCGGTGCAAATTTACTTTCAAGCCAAAATGCGGAGAAAAACTTAACTGTAAAAAAATTGCCATTGTACAGTTTTAAAGATTATGTCAAAATGTATAAAGAAAAGAAAAGAATTCATAAAATGATACTGATGAAAATGATATAGAAAAATATATTATGCAATAAAAGCATTTCTTTAAAAAGTATGCCTAAGGCAAAATTGTGTTCAAAAAGGTGCACATTAGGGAAAAAAAGTCTATGCCTCTTCAGGTTTTTTTTCCAATTTCAAAGTGGTGTAGAAATGGGACACAAATAAAGAATTGAAAATGAGAAGCAAACAGGAATAAAAATATATGGATTTAGACATCCTTGCCAAATTTACTTAGTTTGAGTACTGTATAATTATTGCCTTGTAAATCTACTGCAGAACATATTAATTCAAGAGATGAACGCATAGAGTTAAATAGCCAGCAATGCAAAACATCTGGAATCTGGTACATTTTTTCTGACTAAAAAATGTATCAAGGGTTATACGCTTCATTTAAAAGTTAGATTTTTTAACCTTACCTTTATTATTCTTTCTATAAATAACTCAAGGTGGTGAACATATCTAATACTCCTTCTCCTCCTTTCTCCACAACAACCACCCTGTGAGGTGGGTAGGGCTGAAAAAGAGTGACTGGCTCAAAATAACCCAGGCGGCTTTCATGCCTAAAGCGGGATTAGAACTCTCAGTCTCTGGTGATTGGCCCAATGTCATCCAGTCAGCTTTTGCGCATAAGGCAGGAGTAGAACTCACTATCTCCCAGTTTCTAGCTAGGTGCCTTAACCCAGGGGTCCCCAACCACCGGTCCGCGGACCGGTACTGGTCCGCGGAACAAGTCCTACCGGGCCGCTGGCTTGCTGGGCGCCGCCATCTTTTTTTGATGAAAAAGTGCTTCCGGTGAGCTTTTCCGGGTAGAAAGCCATTTCTACCCGGAAAAGCTCACCGGAAGCGCTGGCGCCGCCATCTTTTTTGATGAAAAAGTGCTTCCGGTGAGGTCACCGGAAGCACTTTTTCATCAAAAAAAGATGGCAGCGCCCAGCTGATGTCGGTACCGGGCCGCGGCGCCCAGCTGATGCCGGTACCGGGCCGCGGCATAAAAAAGGTTGGGGATCACTGCCTTAACCCCTAGAGCAAATAGACTCTTATTATTTATTTATTTAGCCTTTTAATATGTTTGTTAATTTTAAAAAAGTACTATTGGATTCCACTGTTTTTGCCACCACAACTTCAAGATCCATAATAGGCAGTGTAGCAAAGATTGACTCAGATAATCAGGAATTATAAAGGACAGTTTACATCTAATCAAAACAGAGGGGGAAAGCACCATATTACAGAGTCACAACTCAGCAAGACATGGGCAGCACAAAATCAGATGTTGATCCAGTGCAAAATACATGAACTGAAAGTTAACAATGAATTCTGGAGTAGGCAGAAGGGTGAGGTTGTTTCAGACTGCCATTCATGACATCCTTAAATAATCTTAAACTCACAATCTAGTTTGTTTAATAGACTGAACTAGGTTTGGTTAATCATGGCTTATTACATTGTCTAGCTTTGCACAAGACACTAAGTTATAAATAGTGCCTTGCAAATAATAATTGCTCATTAACAAAATACATCCCACAAAATAAAGCATTCATTGGCTTAAAGCAACATGCGATCCAAGTGATGTTTAAGCTAGTGTGAGATAATTTCTAACACATCCTGTTCAATCCTTCCTGATGTCAAAAAAAATCCACCTCAAAATTCTGAATGCTGCAGCCTGAACACAACTAGAGTATGCCAAGATTGGGAAAGGGCTGTTTACACACCTATCTATTCTACAGATCTCAGTCAGCTTTATTTCTGAATTCAACATAAGACGAATAATCTTGTCAATGAGTATGTGCTCCTATACTTACGTTGTGGTATTTTTATCTCTGTGTGCATATACAAACAAACACACACACACACACACACACACATTTTTATAAACAGGCCAAAAAATAACCAGTATTGCTACAAGTAATTATATAGCATACATCTCCAGGTGGCACACTCTAGCTTTTTTCTGACATGCTATATTAACATACAATCATCAACTTCCGATGCTGGCACATGAATGCCATAACTGATTCTCTGATGGACATAATTCTCCCTTAGAGAAAACCTTCAGATAGGGAAACCCCCTGTGCATAAAAAGGCATACTGACTTACTGATCATTAGCAGTATCGCCGGCACACACTAAACAACTGCTAACCCGTTATTTTGTATTAATTAGTTGGCACATATTAGTGGCACATGGCCTGGTGGTTCAAGTGTCTCTTTTCATTACTTACACACATTCATATAAAAGAAACACCTGACTTGTTCCTCTAAACTTTTTGACTGTTCATCGAATGGCAAAAGAGAAATCCCAAGGGGAAAAAAAAATCCTTGTCAATGCCTCCATCTTTGTCTGACAATGATGACTGGGGAATTCTGGGAGCTGAAATCCACATATCGTTATAGTTGCTAAGGTTGAGAAGCACTACTACAGCATAAAAGGCATGCCCAGCCCCAGATCTTGATGTTTTCAATCATCTTCTCTCCTTTAATCAGGTGCAGTTCTATATGTTTTGAATTTATCTGTTTTTTTCTCTGAGGCAATAACAATTCAAGCTTGCAAAGAGTTTCTTAACAATAAAGCCACATTATTTCATAGAAAGAATTAAAATTGGATGGCATTACAGCTTGTGTCTCTTGTACAAGGAATAGAAAATGAGTATTAAGTTATGCAAGTTTTCTAAAACCAGATTAATTTTTATCATCTGGGATGGAGAACAGGGGCCAGACTCATTTAGCACAAAAAAGGCACAATTCTACATTAGAACAGTTTCTCCTTATTAGAAGAAACACCTGACACAAAGGTAATCCTCAATATTTCCCCCCTCCCATTCTTTCTTTTGGAGCTGGTATGAGTCCAACCTGTGTACATGCTTTCCATCCTAAGCAGATGCCTGTTTATCTATTCCTCCACTGACTGGTAGCATTCTTGTCTAAAGAAGATTGAATGGCTTGTATTGATTCCCTTCCCTTTATGGATACATTCCCCAATAGCCACATCGATTTTCTCTTTCTTCTGTCCTGACTTCTATCTTTCTCCCAACCAGTCCCATAACCATTGCCTGGGCATCCTACATATCTCAGATTGCTCAACATCATCCAAGCACCCAAATCTCTTGAACCGGCTATTTCCCTTCTCCCCCACACTCCCCGTCTGCTTCCACGCCTTTCTTCTCCGCCATTCAACCCTCTCCCAGATCTGACTTCTACCATGGACAGCTCCTTAGGAGCCTCTCTGACTTTCCGCCCCGCTTCCTCTTCTTTCTGATTTACCTCGTGGCTATTCGCTCTCTCCACTAAGTTGATCCCTCGCTCCCTCCTTCGATCTACAAGCCATTCGCTATCTTCCCCACTTTGCTGCCTTCAGAAAAGCCCTGATGTCACCCTACCTCTCTCTGCTCTGCACACGCGACTAAGTGTGCATAGGATCCCTGCCTTACTTCGCGTCCCAACCTCCGCTTTCTCCCTTTTCAAGGTAAGGTATGTTGTCTGGAAGACCCCTAACTCGGTCAAAAGCCTTCATTGCCGAGCCCTCCCTCCATCTGTTTCCAACTTCCTCGCACACCCTGTTCCCGCATCCCCAGTTCACACCCATCTTGGGGCAAAGAGAGCTAACCCTGTTCTCCCGCCCCCAACCCCGCCATTTCGCCCGGCGGCGCGCGCGCACACACACACACACACACACACACATGCAACCGAATCGACTCTCGTCGCCGATGACTCCTCGCCTCCATCAACCCGGCACTTTCCTCTTTCAGCTCTTTCCTCCCACGCACTCTCCCTCCCCACGCGCCCTTATACCTGCTGCTCAGTCTTCCCGGTCTCCAGAGGGAACCTCAGCCAAGGACAGGATCCACGCCCACCCAGCATTCCTGGCTGCCCCCGCCCTCATTTCGCATCCCGACACATTCCAACAGCCTGATGCCCCCAGGAGCAGGACACCCCTCCATCTACCACCGAGCGCCGCACTCCTCTCGCCCACACCCAGCTCACTTCGGCCTTCTTTGGTCTCCCCCGCCCGCTTGCCGCAGCAACAACCGATCTCCTGTTATGAGAGAGGTTTGGGGTGGGGGGAGAGAAGACTGGACCCAAGCAGGGTCTCCCGTTGTCCTACCTGCCCTTCTGGCTATGTCCCGTTGACAGGTGTTGAGGTGGGATGGACAGAGAGCTGGAAGGATGGATGCCCCCCCTATTCACACATCACACCCCTCCCTCTTGCTGCTGTAACTCTCCTTTCTCCCCTTCCATGAACAAGAGGCTAGATGGGAAAAATGCAGCCTCCGCCCCCCTTCCCTCCCCCCCCCACTCCTCTTACTTGCTCACTCGGCAGCTTTGTCTGCAAGGACGCCCCTTCCCCTCCCTTTGCACTCGTACGCATCAAATGGTCTCATCGACCCTGCTTCTTCAATGCAAGCTGGGGGGGGGGGGAGTAGTTGTGGTTTGAGTTTTATGAAGAATCAGCTGATCTGGCAGGGGCAAGAGATTAGCAGAGATGGTGCTGTTGCTGGAAAGTCCCATATATTCCCCCATTTTTTTCCCCACCCGCCTTTCCTTGCCAATGATAAAAACTTCACATTGACAAGCTACAAGTGCAGAGAGTATCAAAGAACTAAAGAGTCCCAGAACAATTGACAACATCTCCTCTGGGACTGCCCAGTGCAAATCAAAACCTGGCCAAATTACAAAGAACTGAAAGCCCCATCAAGGGTTCAGAACTGAGACACCAGCCTAAGAAAGATGGGAGAAAACCCATCCAAATGAGCTCAGCAAGCTGATGCGGGAGTTTGATGCAGAAAATGTTTTCGGGGAATCCAGCTTCCTCCGGAGAAAATTATATAAAATCTCTCAGTTCCAGTTTTTCATCAATTATTTATAAGCTGCCCAGGCTGCTGCAGGAGGGAGGACGAAAAGAGCCCACAAATTAACCACAGCAGAGCTCCAGTGCAGCATTTAATGGCTTGCCAAGGCACAGCAACTGCATCACACCATGATTTTTGGCTCCAAAACACTCAGAATTGCTCTTTCTTCTATAAAGAAGCTATACCCACTAAGCCATGACCCAGAAAGCAGCCCCACGAGTAATTGGAAGAAACAAGGAAGTGGTTTAGGAACTCACTTAGAGTGGAAATATGCTACCTGATGTTTGATCCATTACACATTTTAAATAGATATGAAAGGTCCCAAGATAATATGATGATAAAAGGAGATGCAAGAGGAGCCAGGAACCAGGATACTTCTTTTTTTTTTTTCACAAAGTGATATCGAAATAATCTGACAATAAATAGACACAAGTGTGGATTTTTCCCTTCAATTGTTTTACTAAAATCTTTTGCTGCCGAGACACAGATTCAGAAAGGGCTCACAGAAGAGGAAAGGAGGGGTGCGGGGAAGGGCTTATGAGAGAAGGAACAGGGAGAGTGGATATAGATGGACACAGCTTCATTACATTTGTGTTAACAACAACAAAAGAAAAACCACAAAGGAGGGTTATTTTAAATGTCAGGGGATTTTTTTTTAATATATATAATACAAAAAAGCGAGAGACTCTAACCCCAAACTGTGGGGGGTTGCATGCAACAAGGGAGGTGTTCAGCAGGTGGGGCATCAATGCTTGGTGCGAAGGGCTGATGCGCTTGGAACACGAATCACGAGAGAAGCCGAGGAATGGAGCATTAAAAGACACCACGGGAGAATGAGGCACTGGGCAAGGAGGGGAATGGAGAACACTCCACACTGAAGCCATGGAGAAAGAAATACAGCCCTTCTCCATCTCATCTCACTGCAGCTCCCACAACCCCAGCCATGAGCACCAGGCACCCAATGATGCCGCAAAATCCCAACCTGTACCTCCTTCTAACTTCTCTGTAAGTTCCCCAAGTTTTGTCAACCCTTCAACCAACCCATTATTTCTAACTCTGTACTCCTCCTGCAACGCTGCTTACACTACGTACCACAACTATTCCAGTCTTCAACCCCCCCTTGGTCTGTGAGCTTAGCTTACTAAGTCATTCTGTCTCATTATCTCATTCTTTTAGTGAAGTTCATTTGGGGGAAACAGGGGGCACTGCTGGAATAAGCAAGATCTACTGTGATAAAAGATAATCATTATTTGTCTTAGACCATGGACTACAGAAATGAATGTATTTCCAGGACTATTTTGAGGGCCACAAGTTAATAGTAAGGGAGTCAATAAAATGAGGGTGCTCTCAAAATGCACAAAGTCCTTTCACGGCCCTCTGAAGAAGAGTTGCTTCATTGGCTGAGCAGATGCTTTCCCAGCTCCACTATTTTATGAGCACAGGCAGAGGGAGAAAATGAATGAAACTGCCATTACATTGGAAACCCATATATGGCCACTGAATATCCATCTGGGCATGAAGGCTCCAGCTGCCAGTGAGGGAGAGGGATGGGACTGGGAGGACTGGCTTCTGTCTCCCCACTCCCAGAAATCACCAGGGCTGTGTGGGGAGGGCTTGGCTCACAACCGAAGCTCCCTCCATCGGCAGCACCGTGACGGCGGCTGGAGGTGGAGCTGAGACGGCTGCAGCGAGGGGGCAGACCTCACCCGTACCTGTGGAGGAAGACAAATAGAAAGTCAGAATGTTCATACCTCAAACTCTGTTATTAGCTCAAGCTTTCAACTCGCTTCCTATATCCTCTTATTACTTTACACTAGTTCAGGTTTAGTAATCTGGTTTAATAAGGTAAAGAAGAGATGCAGCTATTCCTTCTTCAAAATACCCTATTTATTCACAGCCTGGTAGAATTTCTCTCTAAAAAGCTGAACAGATTAAGTATGTTAAGTCAGCATATGCTAATTAAATAAGGTCAGGCTAGCACTAGCTGTTAATCCTCATCCTGAGGACAATAGGGACACTCTGTTTATTACTTAAATGCCTGGATTAGGAAACTGTAGAGTACAATGTAAAATAAAATGGATCTGTCCAAGATGCATAATGCAAGCAATCATCTGTAAAGGCAAAAAGAAGCTAAAACACTTACCAATGGATTTGTATCTGTTGATAACATAAAGGTATTTGTTGATATCCCTAACCCTCCTGGTTTTAACATTAAAAAAAACCACCATAATCCCGTAGAAAAATATTCAGATAAATACAACACTCAATGGATTGTGTATGGCTTTTTAAAAATTACAGCTCAAATCCTGAAGATGAACCTGCAGGAAGATCAGTCAAATCACACTAGTCAGATACTGCTATATGCAGCACTTTAAACTGGCAAAAAGATGCTAAGTTAGGATGCAGCTGCCCCAGGAAGCTGGGATTCTCCCTTTTCTCACTGAAAATATAAGGATACCTAAAGAACCCTAGGGGAAAAATGGGCCTCCCCTCCCCCTTCCCAGGACAGAAGGAAGCGGCTCTTGCCTGGTGGCCCGGCCAGTGTTTCACCGCAGCGGTTGGCCCTCAGTGGCCGCGGCCCCTTCTCCTGCGTGCGTCTGCAGATGCCCGTTGAGCTGAGCTGGGGTCTTGCAGTGCACGCCACACAGCTTGCAAAGGAAACGCTCCAGCCGCGGGGCGGCTAGTCCATGGTCCTTGACCGCGTGGACCCTGAGGTAGGCCGCTGTGGTGAACCCTACGGGAGGGGGAGAAGGACAAAAACCAGCCAGGTCAGTGTCCGGCCTAATGAAAGCGTTAACCCGGTGTCCTGCAATGCTTGGCTGTGCTTCATTTTAGAGGTGGCTGTGTCTTGAAACTTAGTGAAGGATCTATTGCAACAAACCTCCCTAATTTCAGAGACAGCTTCTCAGCCCAAAGACAGCTGTTTCCTGCCACCAAGCAAGTTATCACTGTACAAACAGCACATCCCACCCTAAGGGCAGCTGCATCTTGCTATAAGAATCAATAGAGTACAAATAACCTAAATCTCTTAAAATAAAATCACCAAACCTTCAACAGAAATATTTTGGTACAAGAATGTCAGTAGAATACCCTTTCAAGAGATTTATAATGTTGTATTTCTATTATTTAATTCACTACAAACTTCAGAGCCAAAATTGAACAAAAAAATAATAAACTCTATTTTATGTTTCTGAGATTCCAGTTATATGAACATATGTTCTTAATATATGGATAGCACACATCTATCAAAAATATAATCCAGGAGATATATTAAAAGCACTATTAAAATTTAAAAATTCCACCATAATTTTTAATTTTCACAATGTCTAATAGTTTTAATTAATGTATTACGGTTGTTGCATTGTGGGATACTGTACTATCAGATGGATAGGGTTGGAACAAACATATCCACTGCAGATATTAGGGAATCGCCTTTCAACCATTCTTAAAATTATTTCTTCATCAATTCATTGGACTACATTCATAGAAATAAGAAGCATTATCTTTCACTTATACTGCATAATATAAATTTCTTCAGTGTCTTATAAAATGAAACTAAGGAAATGCTTTGACATATAAATGGGCGAAATAAATATTGGGAACTATTTGTATTGCAAAGCAGTTTGCTTATTGTAAACAAATATAAATTGACAGCCTGATTAACATTTGCGTATTAAGAGACTTCAGTTTCAGTAATTCACATTGTATTTCCCAGACATATTATGGATAATCTTAACAAGCCTCATCTGCATTTTTGCAGAATTGCTAAAGGACAGCAAATTTGGTTCCACATTTAAAAGTTTTTAATTGTATTTAAATCCAGCTTTTTTCCACAGAACATTTGCCAGAAGTCACCCCTTCCTTAAGGCTTCAGTCATTATACAAGGCTAGTTAGCTGTGTTCTAGCTGATGGAAATTATGCAGCTTATTTTAATTTTTATGGAAAAATAGTAATATTCAACTAGGTTAGAAACGGGGAAACTAATTCTAGTACTGCATTAGGTTATGAAGTCAATGAGGTGACTTAGACTGGCCATTCTCCCCCAGCTCTAGGAAGAAGGCAATGGCAACCCCCAACTGAAATGACTTGTTCAGGCAGTTGCCAAATTTTGAAACTGACTTAAAGATACCCTTCCCACACACCATAAAAGAGAAAGTAATATCTAGAACAGATCTTAAAATTGGGAGTGGGGACTAATGCTGGGAATAGTACCTAGAAACCACATTGAGCTTAACTTTACCTTCAAACAGGTTAGCCAAGAATGAAGAGATTTATGACTGAGAGATTCCTGAAGAAAAGAGTGTAAGGGAAAAATTTGAAAAACTAAATTAATTTACTGGAATTAAATTCCAGTGAAACTGAATGAAACCTAAGAAAACCTGCACACTTTTGCATATAGGGCTTCTTAGCATATTTTAAAAACAAGAGTTATATTTACAGCAGTTCAAATGTTACCCATCTGAGCCCTCTTCTCTTACCTTTGTTGCACAGTTCACACACATGATTTGGCCCTTGGCTGTGTACTTTCATG